TTTTTTTTTTTTTTTTTTTTTTTTTTTTTTTTTTTTTTTATTGGGTTTTTCATTTGTTATAATGGTGGGTTTTATCCCGATTAGTTTAGGTTATTGTTTTTTCGTTTGCAAGAAATGTTTTTTTTCTGGTTTCTATATATATAGCCTTCACGCTATGGGTTTCTCGACATCGGTTGATCGGATTGTTTTCATCAATTGTAGAGGATATGTTGAAGAATCATGTGTGTGCTTGATTTTTTGTGTACCTCTTTGGATGATTTTCGTTTGTGGAGTTCAGTAGATACTATTTTCTCTTGAGCTTTATTCAAATTTGCTGATGGAACTAATTATATGTGGTACCATGTTTCTTATAGTATGAGCTATGTACATGAATTGATATTTGTAACGCCTTTTCATATTTTGGAATATACTATCCATTTAAAAAAAATGATTTGAGACATACTTTTTATGAATTTGAAGAATGAAGTTAGGTATGGTTTTACGGCTTAGTAATGCTTGCAACCACATTACGTTGTTATTTTTTATTTATAGGTGTTCAAGAAATTGGTACATTAATTAATATTTCAAGATCCTATCTATATATAAATAAAATGATAATGTCGACTTATCAGTAAATTACTATAACAAAAATTCTTACATTGTTACATAATAGAATGTGGGGACGCTGAATTATTGGTAGTTTCAATCCATTAGTAGTAATGCTCTTTTTATCTTTTTCTCATTTTTAAACCGCATCTTGGCTAGTAGATATCATAAACTTGGAAATTAGCTGAAAAGGTATGCGTCGCCATAGCCAGATAAGAAAGAAACAATAGGATATTCTAAGCATTGATGCAACATGCAACTTGCGGGAGTCATATATTAATTATATATAAACTACTTGCTGACGAGCTTTTACATAAGCTTTTGGAGCTTTGTTAGGTCTATAATAAGGTTGGAAATATATTTTAATACTCACTAATCCAAATATAACACACCAAGCAGGATTTATTAGGTAAGGGAATTAAAAACTTATATGATTTGATGAATCACTATCATGGGTCGGTTCATGCCCTGAACCGGAAAACACAATAATATATATATATATATATTTGGACCATTAATTGGATTTGGATTGTTTCCTGTTTTCAGCAATAGAACTGGATCTTGGTCATTGTGTTGTTTCTTTCCCGAACGACACAAAGAACTATTAATAATAAGAATTTCAAATTAAGATGCATCTTACATTAAAGCCACAAACTGTGTTGTAGTTATCTGTAACCTCATCACCGGTTCTGACTCAGCATGTCATGACCGGTGGTGGCTTTGTATAAGCTTTGACATGGTTGAGAAGATATATATAAGAGATTAATTAAAATTTGATGCTTTAATATATATATACATATAATAGTTATAGATATGTTATATATATATATATGTATATATATTTCTCGATTGTTGTATTATTAGATCAGGGAGTCCCTAGAATATATATACAATGGATAAGATTTGCGAAAAGAGGAAGAAAGGAAGAGTGTACGGCCTGTTTGGTGTGAAGAAAAAAAAAGTAATTATTAGTGGATATTGTTAAGCGGAAAAACTTAATATTAAAGCTAGATATAGTGACTTAGACCATCTCTAATGCATTTATTAATATTAATTGTATATTTAATATCAAAAAATGTAATATAGTGTGTTATCCTCACTCTAAAAATAAAATTAATGAACATAAGTGAATGAAAGAGTAAAATAATAATTGTCGAAACAACATGTTTTCTTGGGATATTTACATTTTTATACAATGTGTTTTGAGTTTATTCAAAAATTATACTTTTAAAATTTTTAATCTCATCAAATGTATACCTTTAAATTTACTTTTTCACAATCAATTTTTGATTTTAAGCATAAAATACCTAAAGTACCCTTAAATAAAAATGGAAAAAGAAAAAAAACTTTAAAAAAACTTTAAACTTACAGAGTTAACCTTAAAAATATCTAAAATACCATTGAAATGGGGTTTTTTGTTTAAAATTTTATTTTTTAATGTTGGAAAGTTTTTATTTTCTCTCCTTTTTTAAGGATAATTTGGTCATTTCAGAAGTTAAAATTAATTATTAACCGAGATAAGCGATAGATTTGTATATTAAGGCTTAGTTTGGTAGTGCTGTAGATTTTAAACAAATTACTTTTAACTGTGCTGAACTAAGAAGCAGCTATTACAAAAAGCAACTGAGTGTTTAGTAAACTATAATTATAGTAGCTGTGCTGATTCTAAAACCATTATAATAGCGTTTGGTAAATTATGAGGTTGAATTGTTGTAAATAGTTAAAAATTACGACTATACTATATTATACTATAATATAATATATATATAATTATAATATAATATATAATTATTATTATATTATATACAATAAATATATTATAATTAATACACCATGTAGTCGTGTGTGTAATGTACTATAATAGATAATAATATTAAAATTATTAGTATAATTATAGTATTATTTGTTAAAATATTACAACTAGTGTAATATACTATAATATATAATAATATTAGAATTATAAGATTATATTAATATTTAATTATTATATTATTATATTATTATATTATTATTAATATAATAAATATAATTATATCAATATAATATAATAATATTATTGTAATATTATTAATATAATAAATATAATTATATCAATACAATATAATATATAATATTTTATAAAATAATAGTTAAAAAATCATATTATAATTATAATATTATATTATTAAAATAATTATAATATCATATTATATGATAAACTAATAATATTATAGTTATTAATATAATTATAATATTATTTGTTACAATATTACTATTATATTATATTATATTACGAGTCTTACCTAATATTGTAAATTTTAAATTTTATTAAGAGTATAATGAGTATTATAAAAGTTTTATTAATTGTATATGCTTATTAATTGTACTATCATATAGGTATATTTGGCATCAAAAAAACACATTTCAGAATAAAAATAAGGATATTCCGTTGCCGGGAATCGAACCCGGGTCTCCTGGGTGAAAGCCAGATATCCTAACCGCTGGACGACAACGGAATTGATGTCATATAAGCGTTAACATGTAAAATATTGTAGATATCTAAACCATCCATGATCTTTCCTTGATGTTCTCTACATCATCCATTTTAAAAGACGTGATGCTTTATATAATGATATCATTTTTATATCATTAAAATAATGATAATATCGTTATATAATACAAAATATGGTCATTATGATAATTATTATATCATTTTTGTTACATTTATAATATTTTGAATTTTTTTTAAAAAATTTTAACACAAGATATGAAATTTTGCCATGCAATTATCACCATAAATTTGCATACAACTTGCCTCGTACATCTTCCTATAGTGTGGGAGCCTACAAAGCGTACAAAAACTGTTCTATAAAGCAAAGCCCAATAGCGTACCTCAATTAGAGTCTAAAGTGTTTTCTTTAACTACAACTTGATAGATTGGGCCGTCTTATTCTTCTTTGAGCTTCAAAAGCTTGCTTCTAGATTAATCACTAGACCAACTTGGTGGGAAAATTCAGTGTTATTCATGAAATTAATTATTACACAAGAAAAATAACTTGTATAGGGATTTCCAAGGACATTGATGTGAAAAAGAAAATGGCTTTATGCATGATTTCCTTATCCATAACTGCTAACTCAAATGCAAGTTAATTCAAACTTAAATAGAAAGCCACGTACATTTCATTTCCAAAAAAAAAGATATTTGTATTTCTTTGGTCAATTCAATCTTTTTCCAAAATTTTGAACAATCTCGCATCTAAGTGCAAAGTTTCAACGACCAGTGTATTCGAATTGATCCAAATTCGTATCTTTTCGAAGTTCGAGTATAAAGTACTCCAATAGCTTAAGAACAAGAAAACCTATGGCCAGATTTTTGCAGATGTCCTAAGAAACCAGATACTAGTTTAACTTAATCAACCATATGACACGAATAATATCACCCAAAAACTAGAAACTTTAATGAAAAAGAAAAGAAAAAAAAAACTTGGTCAAATAATCATGTGTTTTTATGCGCACCACGATACACCACAGTACACATTATTTATACAGCCAACCTCAATCCAATTTTCTACAACTTTATAGATTTGTCATTTTTTTCTTTTAGGGATTTACATGAAGAATTATGTGAAAGAAAATGGCTTTAGTAAATGGTTCACATATCGACAGCTGTGTCATATGCAATTGAATTCAGGTCTCATTTAGTACGTAGGATAGGACAATATTGGATAGGACAGTTGTAAGATAATGCATTAAGATAGGATTAAAATTTAATCCAATCCCATGATTGGTGTCGTGTATCAGGATAAAGGCGTTTTTGAAAAAAAAAATCAAAATTGGGACTCAAATTGTAATTTTTTAAAACTCGAGGGGCAAAATATTATTTGTTTAATTATACTCATATAAAAATTGCTTATTGACCCCTCAATTTTTAAAAAGTTACAATTGGGTCACAAGTTTTGTAAAAATTTACAAATAGAACCCTAATATATTTCAATAGTCAGGGGATAGCAACATCCCCTTTTAAGAGGAGATTTGAGCAGGGGCTGAACAAAAATTTATCCAAGCCAGTCCTTTAAAAATGTTCGCTAAACACAATTTTAAAATTTAATCCTATCCAATCCTCCTTCGTACTGACCACCAAACGGGCCAACATAAAGAGCAAATCAAGTTTTTGTAATCACAGACATGCATATGCTTAGCAATAAATAAAAGTGCAATGTTGGTATAACCAGATTGCTTGAGACTTCTTTAAACCATGTCGAAGGTACGGAACATTAGAAAGAAAATGAAGCTCAAGACCGAGCAAAGCTCGTGACGTTTTCTTTTGTTGCTCACTTGCTTCACAACTCAATTGCAAACTCATATTTTTATATGTATGTAACATAAAGATTGTATCAAAGTTTAGTGCCAAAAGCAATGTAGAACCAAGTCAATAATTTAAGTTAAAACAGGAAAACTAATCCTTTATTTTTAGTTTTCGTCAAAAACTGTCTGATATCATTACACAAAATTATAAGCCTGCTCAACAACAATGCTCCAAGTTTTCGCCTTTAAGAAGGATCAAACTAAAAGCCCTTCACCAAGTGACACAAGGTGATAGTTTTACTTTGGTGGTGCACAAGATTTGCAAAACTCCACCTTCATCAAGACAACAATCAATCACAACATGGCCATTCAGCTTGACGGATGCTTAATTATTCTCTTTATAATCACCTTCCTTGCCATTGTTATTTCTTGAACACACTTTTCATTCTGTCGACTTAAGCTTTCAGTTGTTTCTGTAAACGCTTCCAGCTTTTTCTTGATCTCTTCCATGACTATCTTCAGAGCCCCATCTTCCATAAGGGCAAATTGAGCATTATGCAACAATGACTCAACCTCGATTTCTAGTTTGTTGACAAGTGCCTTAATGCTTTCCAAGTCCTTGAGTGTAACATAAGTCCCAACCTGCATTGAGCTGATTATCTCCCTCTGCCCTCTTACCGTATTCCCATAGCGATTCCAAAAAGAATTACACCATTTCCCCACCGAACCTATTGGAACAGCTAAGGCACCCAGCAAAGCTGTGACGACAGGCGGCGCAGCAATGGCAGCCGCTACTACGGAGAAAATCAGCAGAGACACAAAAGCTGCCACAAAAATAACATTCGACACCTTTCTCCACGTCTTGACAGATTTCAATTTCTTATCAAGCTTCCTCTTTCGAGTTTGCAACTTCTCCAACATCACATACTGCTGATTAAGAACAGACTGAAACAACACAAAGAACTCATCAGTGAACGGGTCACCAGCCGCCTTAAACTTTGCCAATTCGTGCAATGTCTTCTCAAAAGTACCCCCATTAGCCTCGCTGCCTTCTAGCTCTTCCTTAAACCGGTTGACCGCAGCTCGAACTACCAGCTGATTACCAGTAGCGCGCTTGAGACATCTCTCAAGCGCAGTACAGAAGTCCAAAGTTAGGATGCTGTTTTCAAAGTATTGCTCCACAAGGGAAAACATGTCCTTGTTGTTCCATATATCCTTCTTGTTTTCTAGAATGACCTTGACCACTTCCTGGTTCATCTCAAGCAGGCAATCAGTGATTTCTTTGAGTGAATTGAATGACAATGACCTAACCTCAACCCCAGTTGCCAAAGTTCCAATTACTCGGTTAGTTCTCTCTAGGAGAATAGCATCAAATGTCTGTAAGGTTGGATCAGATCTACAAGCAGCTTCATAGGAGCTTAGATCAGCAGAATACTTGGAATTTATGTTGGGTTCAAGAGGAGGTAATGGTGGTGCTGGTGGTGGTGATCGAGATTTCGGAGCACCGCCATCATTCATTTTGCTCGATTGTCCTCCCATCATTTGGAGAAATGGCCTATAGCTAATGAGAATTAAAGCCCACAAATTTGATGTTTTCTTTCCCGGGTAAGGTTCTTTCTTTTTGCCTGATTTCCCTTCAATTCAATCTCAGCTAAAGAAATGCACAATCTCCAGTCTAAGCAAAGTCTCACAGACCAGCTAATTGAAAAAAAAAAAAAAAAAAAACCAAATTCTGTAACTTTCCAAATTCGAGTGAAACTGACGAAATGGGTTTTTGCTAAGATCCTAAGAACCCAGATGCTATTTTTACTTGATACCATAAACCCAGATGAAATAATCGAAAAAAGCACCCAAAAATAGAAATTTTGCCCCAAAAAAGTACTTTCAAGGAAAGGAAAAAGCTCTATATTTAAGACGACCTGTGTTTACCTGAAATTGAGCTGATGCAAAAGGGAAAGATGAATTACTCTCACTTTAATCCTCCACCGAACTGAATAATCGAAAGATCTAAGCAAAACTCCAGTGTCTAAAACAGAAATTGAAAATCTTAGCTAAAATCGCCAATAAATTAAAGAATCGATTCCGGAAAAGGAGAAAACTTGAGGACCAAAGGACAGGCTTTTCTGAAAATAAATTGGCGGAGAAATCAAGGAGTTTAGGACTGGTTTATCTGGACGGGAAAGAGAACGAAAATGAGGGGAAAGTGAGAGAAAATGGAAGGGAGGGTGTGAGGAAACAATAGCCAGGGCTTTGTCATCTCAACTCTCAAGCAGTGCTTTGGAAGGGAGGGTCTTCACACACACTTACGAGTCAAAAGCGCGTTTGAAACTGTTCTAAAAATAATTTTGTTTTTTTTTATGAAAATATAAATGAAAATCTTTTTAATTTTAGATAGAAATTAATTTTAAAAAAATATTTAATAATTTTATTAAGAAATTATTTTTAATATAAAAAAATTTATTAATATCTATTTCTTATTGAGAATGAGAAAATAAAAATAAAAAATAAAAAATAAAAAATGATTAAAAGTCATTTTTTATTTTTTTCTCATTTTACAATAAAAAAATTATTTTGATTTCCTTTTTTTTTGTTTTTAATTATACCAAACGCTGTTAAAATCATTTTCATTTTTTTTTTCTCAAAAAACGTGCAAAACAAGAACAAGAACCATTCCAAACACGACAAAAGTGGCGTCAGCGACTTCACTCTCTCTGTTTTGTTTTTTTTTGATAAATTTTATAAATTCCCCTCAAATTTTGTCACTTATGTCAACATGCCCTCTCAACTTTAAAATATACATGTTATGTTCTCTGAATTTTATAACTTGTATTAACATACCCCCTGAAGTTAACTCTGTTAATATTTTTAACGGAAATGCTTATAAATACCCCCTGAACTTTGTCAATTGTATCAATGTCATCTGAACTTTAAAATATACCTGTTTTGTCTCAAGAACTATAATATATCTCCAATTTTTCTCCCTTCATCTTGATTCTATCAATTTTTTAAACGAAAATATTGATATGACTATTAAATTACTAATTATCTATGATATTTGATTATTAAAGTTTGTTAAGTTAATGGTTCTTAAAGTTTGTGTTGATTTTTTATTAAAAAAATGTACAATAAAATAAATGACCTGAACGCATTTAAATTTAAAATTGCTATATATGTATAAAGCTAAACATGTTTTATGTTGAACACTTCTATCTAGGTGAAATATTAAGAAAAAAACTAATAAAATTTGTTATATTATACAAATTTGCTCCTTATTTTTTTTGTGTCTTTATTGTCTCTAATTAACTAATGTTTTGAGAATTGATACTTAACTAACATTTTTAGAAGAGAATGTATTCAATAAACCTCAAATATGATAGATAATTAGCAATTTAATGGTTATATCAACATTTTCGTTCAAAAAATTGATAGAATCAAGATGAAGGGAAAAAATTGGAGACATATCATAGTTCGGGGGACAAAACATGTACATTTTAAAGTTCATGTGGCATATTGACACAAGGGACAAAGTTCATGAGGCACTTATAAACATTTCCGTTAAAAAACTTAACGGAGTTAACCTCATGAGGCATGTTGACACAATTGACAAAGTTCAAGGGGCACAACATGCACATTTTAAAATTCATGGGGCATGTTGACATAAGTGACAAAGTTTAGGGAAAATTTATAAAGTTTGGCCTTTTTTTTAAAGGGAAGCTCCTCTAGTAGGAATAGAAAAATACACAATCGAGAAAAAGAAATTCCTGTTGCTTGCTTTACAACATATGGGTCTAAGATTTTCACCGACAAAGTTAATGACCACTTCATATGGGATATTGATCCCTCTATGTGTGGTCTAGACTGTGACTGTTGGATGAACCTCGAAGATGAAGAAGATGGTCATCCGATTAGTAGAAGGAGGAAAAAGAAAGGAGCTTGCAGACCTCAACCTCAGACAACGAGGAGACAATATCACCCTGATGATCCAGATAGTCCCTGAGTTTTTAAGAAAAAAACCTAGGAATTCACCCACATCAGGAACTACACCGTGCATGATGTATTCATCATATGATCGAGATTTCCCAGTTCTTGAATGGCAAGTGGACCAGACAACCAAAGTGGTCTCCAGACCATATGTCCAGCCAACAGAGATGCAACTAGACGGAAGAACGAAACCTCCAACTCAAGTAGAAGAAGTTCTAAACTGGCAAACTCAGAATGCTAGAGCACATAACCAGGCCCTGCAGAAGATTGAAACAAAAGTTGACAAGGTTATAACCCAGGTCAATCTTGCCGACAAAAAACTTGACAGCTTCAGTAATGATATACGAAGGCTCTACGATAATCTCCAGTAAAACATCAAGCAGTTAGATTCTGACCTAAGAAGCCTCATTAATCAAGGATACTTTGGTCCATAATTTGACAGGAAAGAAGCATAAATCCAAAAGCTAAAAGCTGAACTCAGGCAGATCGATGAAGATTTGGATAGAACAGAAAGGAGAATGTTTGATCCACCTTCTTATCCACTTCCTCCGTTCGGTCCTTCACTTTTCCCTTCATACTCGTATCCATGTCAGCCTGACTATTCAAAAATCTTCAAGATGACACATGAGATCTTTAGAGATCCAATATGGTCAAAGCCATCCACTTCAAAACCAACTGCTTCAACTAAGCCAACTTCTTCAAAATCAAAGACTACTAGAATAAGAGTTTCCTCATAAGAAGATGAACCAGCTCCATAAAAGGCTAAACCCGCAGCAGAAGATAAAAGAAAAACCCAAGAGTATCCTCCTGCTTGCATGGCTCTCTCCTCAAGGATAGAGACAGCCTTAATCTCAGAATCAGACATTGAACCACTTGAGACATCAGACAGTTCATCCGAAGCAGAAACCAACTCAAAAGAGTCTGAAGAAGTAACCATGGACATCACGCGACTGTTAATGGCTACTTCCACAGGGTCTAATGATCAACAGACCCATTGGGAAATGGGAGAATTTATGAGAGAATCTTCTCCCATAATTGAAGAACTAACTGACACTCAACAACGATAAGAGAATACATTCTCCAAGCCAACAGCCGGTCCGTGGTTTACTTTTGACAATGCCTTTCCATACCAGTGGAGAGATAGAGTCAATGAATTTGGTGCTTGGATAGATTTACAGATGAAAAAAGCCGGAGCAGAACTATAGGCTGTTCTCAGAGAATTTGCCTCCAGATTCACTAGTACTCTCAGAGATTAGTTTCAAAGCCTTGGGGGATATAGACAACTCTAGTTCATTAAGGCAGACACTACAGCAGGAATTCTTGGACTCATATACGAAGAGTTCATTGGGGATTACAATCTGATTGATAAGCAGATGCGCCAAGAGTACTTTGAAATGAAGTGTTGTTCTTTAAAAAGAAAAGATATTGAATTTCACTATCAAAGAATGTCTTGGCGATACTACTTACTCAATGGATTCAATGATCCTAATCTCCGTCAAGTATACCTGTCGTCACTTCCCCAGGAATTACAGCTAAAACTTCAAAGATCTCTCCTTGCCACAAAGAGAGAATTGAAGGATGTCTCCATCGAAGAAATTCATCAACTAACATTGGCGGCTCTTAACAACTCTGTGTGACACAAGAACTATTCTCTCCCATGATGAAGGAAAGATCCAAATTCAAGAAAACATGCAGGAAGCCCTACCTACAGATCAAATGCAAAGACACTAAGTGCTCTTGTGGTCCTCTAAAGCATTCCAATCATAATTCTTCACGACGGTCTCGCAGACCTAAAAAGTTCAACAAGAAAGAAGGAAGAAAATTTTGATTCTTCAAAAGGAAAAAACGTGGCAGCCCAAAGTCAGATCGTTGTTTCAGCTGCGGAGAAAAAGGACACTATTCAAAGAACTATCCTAAGAAATCTGCCACGTTAGCCAGAATCATCCAACAACTACAAACCAACTCAGCAAATCATGATGAAGAGGATGATGATATGGAATCCCTGTTCTCTGAACAAGAAGATCCAGATATGGAGACAGTCTTCGTTATTCCAGAATCAGACCAAGATAATTTTAGCCCAGAAGAAACAGAAAAGGAAGAAGTATACTACCACATTCTAGTATACAACGTTGAATAATGCTCCATAACTGTTCCAACCCCTCCTCTACCAAATGTTGAGGTCCAGATCCTCACTTCAAATATTTGAAAAATAAAATAAATAAAAATGACGTCAAAAAATTATGAAATTTTGCAGACACAAACCTTACATTTTTGTGAGCATGCCTGCAAAAAATGGCCTAAAAAAGTGACAAAAAAGTAAAACGCGGTCAAAAATCCCCCGCCCCGCCTAGTGGGGCGCCCTGGGGCCGGGATGGGTAAAAAATTTACATTTTTATTTATGTTTTACATTCTAAAATTAATATATGATTTCTAGGAATTAATGCAACAAGCGGCACCAATTTTTGCTGAATATTCTATTTTTTATGATTTTCTTTATTTTTCATCTTTGAAAAATAAAATAAAATAAAAACAACGTAAAAAAAATTATGAAATTTTGTAGACACCATCCTTCCATTTTTTTGGGTATGCCTGTAAAAAATGGCCACAAAAAATAATAAAAAAAAATAAAACGCTGTCAAAAAGCCCCCTGCCTGCGTAGTGGGGCACCCAGGAATCAGGATGGGTAAAAAATTTAAGTTTTTATTTATGTTTTTTACACTAAAATTAACATATGATTTTTAGGAATTAATGCAACAAGCGGCACCATTTTTTCATGAATATTCAATTTTTGCTGATTTTCTTTATTTTTCGTCTTTAAAAAATAAAAGAAAATAAAAACGACGTCAAAAAATTATGAAATTTTACAGAGCCAATCCTCACATTTTTCTGGGTATACGTACAAAAAATAAGCTAAAAAATGACAAAAAAAGTAAAACGATGGTAAAAAAGCCCTCGCCCTGCGTAGTGGGGCACCCTGTGCTTGGGAAGGATAAAAAATTTACATTTTTATTTATATTTTGCATTCTGAAATTAGTATACGATTTTTAGGAATTTAATCAACAAGCGGCACAATTTTTTGATGAATATTATATTTTTTTATAATTTTCTTTATTTTCATTTTTGAAAAATAAAATAAAATAAAAACAACGTAAAAAAATTAGGAAATTTTGCAGACACGATACTTAAATTTTTCTAGGCATGCCTACAAGAAATGGCCTCAATAAAAGACATACAAGTAAAACGCTGTCAAAAAGCCCCTGGCCCACCTAGTGGACTGCCCAAAGGCCGGGATAGGTAAAAAATTTACATTTTTATTTATGTTTTACATT